TTAAACACTTCTACTACTCAATGGCACAAGACAGACATTTCCATTCCAAAACTTACGAAAGGGGATACAAAGGATTGAGACCAAAGCAAGTCCAAAATCCAGTAAGGCAAACATCAAGTCCTGCAGTTCCATAAGCAACATCAGGGGCAATCTGTGACAAGCTGTGAGCTCCAAAGGGCTTGGGTGGCTTGTCCCTTAGGGCACTTCTGATGGTAGTAGCTCCCAGAGCTTCTCTCTTAGGCCCCCTCTGCTTCTCCCTTGCAGTTTTCCTCAGACAATCCACTTTCCTGGCTTCTCCAAACTTCTGGGATCTCCCGTGAAAATTCAACTTCACACTCACAGCTTCATACACTGTCCTCCTCAGGGGCACACTGTTTGGCATCCTAGGCCTTGTGAAATCTGGGTGGAAGCCACCCGGCCCCATCACTCTGACACTCTGCATGTGCCTAAAACCAGTAGCATGAATCCAGCTAAAATCCTAGAGCTCATGGCAATGTCCTCCATGAGTGTAGCTGGAGGCCTAGAGCCCACACCAATGTCACAAGCAGGTCTGTATCAAGGATCTGTGCTGGGAAGGCCCAAATGTCAGTGGTAGAAGCTGGAAAGTGTGTGTCAGCAGGATGAACGATCTGTCGCTGCGCGCTGAAGTGTCTGCACTGGAGCCAGGAGGCAATGCTCATGGTAAGCATCTGAACCCCCCTCAAGAAGAACCAGAGCATCCTCAGTGACAAGGACTGAGCTCTGATGACAAGAGCCGAGTCTGTTATCAGGACACCCAGGAAGACAGCTTCCCCATGGGGCCGGGGAGATAGCTCAGTGGAATAAGTACTTGCCTGGCAAGCGCAAGGACCTGAGTTCATTCCCCAGTTCCACCAAAAAAAAAAAAAAAAAAGCCTCCCGAGGAGAATCAGCAGTACATCATCACCTTCCCTCCAGTTCTCTTTTCATGCTGCTGGCAACAATTTTCAGCTGAGCCTTCCACGGCCGGCACCACGATGATTCACTTCAGCTGAGGATTACAGGTTGACCATTAGTTAATCCACCACAATCCACCCCTGGTCAACTTGATAACCAGACACATTTCCTTAAGCCATAGTGTCTAGTGGAAGATTTGTGAAAAGTTAACGTGTCTTGGTCTGTTCAGATTTACAGTAACATAACAGTTACATATATAATTCCTATTGCCCTCATTCATGATCAAAAGCAAAATATTCAAGGAATGATCAAAATTGGAGATTTAAACCACAATACTTTGACTAATTAACCTGATTGTACATATCTAAAAACTACATTAAAATTGTATTAAAAGAGCTATGACAGGGCCGGGGAGATGGCTCAGTAGGATAAGCGCTTGACTGGCAAATGCAAGGATCTGAGTTCAAACCCCAGTTCCGCAAAAAAAAAAAAAGAGCTATGATAATCACAATCCTTGCTTCCCAGCAGCTATTAACAGGGCGTGGCAAGACTGAAAAACGGCTCTCCTGCATTTCAGATGCACTCTCCCGCCTGGGGAAAGGCCTCAGGTCACTCTTCACGGTCCGGTTCCTCCCCAGCACCATGCTCTCCTGTTTCATCCTTGCCATCCACAGCTTCTTCAACTCACTGCTGGCTCGTGGCTCTTCACCTTTCACTTAGATCCGGCCAAAAGCTCTCAGGAGTGTCCGTGCCACCGTCCCAACAGTAGACTGCACTGAAATCCTGCTGCACCCAGGCAATATCCCTAACACAAGCAACATGCCAGTCAACTTCCTGCCGAAGCACAGCACACTCCGCTGGGGTCCTGCAGCCGGCGCAGTCCTTAGGAGACGCCTCCAGACCTCATCCCACTGGCAGCATTTCCATCAGAACTCTGGCTTTCCAGGTACTGACCAGCGTCTCCCATATAGTTCATAGCACAGGGGCGCGGCCTCTGTAGCCAGTCTCTTGAAACCTTTCCAAATTAATTCCCAAAGCAGTTAAGCCCCCTGCCAGGCAACATCACAGTAACAACCCACTCTCTTGGTACCAATTTGTGATGATTACTTTTTTCTCACTGCTGGGACAAAATGCCTGACACCCAAAATTAAAGGAGGGAAGGTTTATTTAACTCAGCTTGTGGAGGTTTCAGCCTATAATCATCTGGCTTTTTTTTTTTTTTTTGTGGAACCGGGGATTGAACTCGGACCCTTGCGCTTGCCAGGAAAGCACTATTCTACTGAGCCATCTCCCCGGCCCATCCTCTGGCTTTGAGGCAGGGTGGCAGAGTTCATGGCAGCAGAAGAAAACAAAGCAGCAAGAGCAACGTGGAGGAACAAGCCTCCCTACGTTGCCTTGAACACAGGTGACCTGCTGCATTCACACCCCAGTCCCAGCACTAGACAATGAACCAATCACACACTCTCAGTTCAGCCACCTCTGAAAAGTCCACCCCACCATGACCTCATGAGGCTTGGGGGGACATCAGACACACACTGGAACACCTGGGATGTAGGCTGTTTCCAGAACCGAGCTATTATGGATTAAACCGCTGTAAAAATTAGTATATACGTATCTCTATAGTAGGATGGCCTTAACTGGGCGTCCACACGGAATTTCTTTTCTTTTCTTTTTTTTTTTTTTTTTCACACGGAATTTCTATGTGTAGTTTTTTGGCAGTCTCCAGACTCTGCTTCCTGTGCTTGCACGGTGGCCACACTCTTACATTACCACCAACAATGGAGCACATCTCTGTTCTCCCCACGTCCTCACCAAGGGTTGCTGCACTTTGTGTTCTTTTTTTTTTTTTTTTTGCAGAACTGGGCATTGAACTCGCCCTTGCACTTGCAGGGAAGCAATTATTCCACTGAGCCATCTCCCCGGCCCCACTTTGTGTTCTTGGTGGTAGCCATTCTGATCAGGTTAAGGAGGAATCTCAGAGTTTTGATTTGTATTTCCCGAATGGCTAACGATGATGGACATTTTTCCATGTACCTACTGGCCATTTATACTTCTTTTGAGACCTGTCTATTTAGTTCATTTGCCTTTTTTATCTTTTTTTTTGGGGGGGTAATCAGGAATTGAACTCTGGATCTCATGCGTGCCAGGCAGGCACTGATCCACTGAGTTAACTCCCCTTCCCCTCCTTTTTTTTTTTTTTTTTTTGGTGGAACCAGGCATTGAACTCAGGCCCTTGCGCTTGCCAGGCAAGCACTTATTCTACTGAGCCATCTCTCCAGCCCCTCTGTTTTGTCTTTTTGAGACAGGGTCTCACTATGCAGTGCAGATTGGTCTTGAACTCATTTTATTGACCAGGCTGACCTCAAACTCAACACAATCCTCTTGTCTCAGGCCTCCCAAGTTCTGGGATTACAGGCATTTGCCACCATGCCCGGTCCATTTGCCCATTTCTTTGATTGGGTCATTTTTTTTTTTCAAGGTTAATGTTTTGAGTTCTTTATGTATTCTACATTTCAGTCTTCTACCAGCAGAGTAGCTTGCATTTTTTTTTCCCATTTTGTAGGCTTTTTACTCTATTGATTATTTTTTTTTGTTGTGCAGAAGCCTTTTGATGAAATTTCATTTGTAGATTCTTGATATTCTATACTGTGCAACTGGAGTTTTTTTTTTTTTTTTTCTTTTTGGATTTTTAGGGAAGGGTCCACAGGGTGTTCAGAGTCTCACTACTAGATGGGACCCCTCGTGATGCTCCTGTTTACACCCTCCCAAGTGCTGGGATTACAGGTGCACACCACCACACTGCCTCAATGCTCCATGTGCCCTGGGGGTGGGGCTGGCACGGTAGGCCTGGGGATGGAGCCCCTGGCCCCTGCACCTGCTTGCCTAAGCAGGTGCTTTAGTCCATTAAGCTATCTGGCTGGCCTTATTCTTCCTCTTCATGCCTCCCTGTCATGCCACCCTACCCTGGCCAGGGTGAACTGTGAAATGAAACCTCTGCAAACTGTGCACTAAATGAACCTTTTCTCCTTTAACTTTGGGTGCCAGGCATTTTTGTCTCAGCAGTGAGAAAAGGTAACTAAGACACTGCACTTATTTATTTTTAACTGACTTTATTTATTTATTTATTTATTTATTT